ATTGAGGATCATTTGGGATGATTTAGGATGTCAGAGTGGGTGATTGAGGTCATGAAATAGAGCTAGATGATGACTAATCAGAAAGATTGTCTACTCAGCACTGAAATACTATCCTATCCCTAATTTCCTGTATCCATTCCAGCAAACCAATCACAATTGAGCCTGTGCTGTGCACCAATCAGGCCTCTTCCTGGTCTCACACCCCAATCTGGCTCGGTTACAGGGCAGCGCTACCCACCCCAGCTCCGACCATCGTCGGCCAGATAGTAGCCATTAGTCAAGTTTGCAGATTGCCTTCCTCCCTCGGCAATTCCAGACCTCTATACAAAGCCTCAAGCTCCTACACAAGCAGGTTACAGGGCACTGCCCCAGCCAGCTAGCGTCGTTTTGGCGCCAACTCAACCTGGCCATTACACAAGAAGACTCGATTAGGAAATTAACTAATCTAGAATGCCAACCAGAAATCAAGGATCTGATAATATCAGAATCCTGATCAGCAAAACTTTATGATGATGAAATTTGACGAGTACCCTGAGATGATCACAAAGATGATGGATAATGATGAAGACACTGATGATTTTTTCTCTCCACCCCTCCCCTTCTTCCATGTACTCTCCTCCTCTCCCCTCATTTCCTCTTCTCCTCTCGCTGCCTCCGCTGAGCCGAACCCCGCTATCAGCATGAAGTTCCTATCAGCCCCAACGAGAGAGAGAACCTCCCCATTCCCTTCTACCTTGAGGTAACCAGTTCCCCCAAAACGTGTACCTCAAAACTAACACTTTGACCTAGTCTGCCTCCGCCAGGAGATAATGCGCCCCCATACATATCTCCCAGCCCCAGCCCAGGTCAGCTCCCATCATCTGCGTCTACTCCCTGGAGGGCAATCACCTCCCACCTTGTGTTACCCCTGCGGAGTAGCGCTCCCTTCCTGACCAACCTACCTACCAACTAGACCATAGCCTATCTGGGAGATGAGAATATGATGATGATGACGATGATAATGGTGAAATAAAATTGGTGAAAATAAGTAAGGAACGTCGGACTTGCGATGCCCTAATGGCATCGGTGTGGAAGATTGACAACTCACTATTGCTGTAATGAAAATAGAAGATGACGATGATTACGATTCTGACAGAGAAGTCCGGATGGTGATCATGAAGTAGATAAGAAAAAGATAAATAACATGGATGACGAATTAGAGAACCCGATGATGATTACCACCGGTAACCAAATGAGGATTACAAAAATGACGGTGTCCTTGATGAAAACCCCCCGCTGAAATGACAATGGTGAAAATCTTGATGCTCTTGATGGATAACCTGCACAAGACAAAAAACAAATGAAAGCACATATATAGGTTGATGATGACCTCCTAGCCGCTCTCTCGATGATACTCTCCCAGTGGCACTGTGATGATTCTTCAAGTAGGACCAACGTTCTCCGCACTTTGGTCTCCATGGGGCTGACTCCACTTTCCTCCACCGACATCGACTTTTGTCAACTTGCATGAGCTCTCCAGCCTCTTTAAAGGACTTGGCTATGGAGTACTTCATGTGAAAAACACAGGGAAAATGCTCAAACAGCAGCTGTTGCCACCATTCTCCCTTTTCCTCTGTGCCTCAGGCCAGATGCCACGTCAGCATGTGACGTAGTAATGACCCAGCGCCTCTGGATACCGCGCGTGCGTCAAGTGTTATCCCCCATCTAATTCATGACATCACAGCACCCTCGCACCAGCGCCTCCCTCCCCTCGGCTGCCAGCACCGCGCCACGTGTCAGCTAGCATCTTACTAGTCACCCCAAGCCAGCGCCTCGCCAGCCGCAAGTCACCAACGCCCCACCACTCACYTKTTRCCASCGCCTCSCCCCCYGYCARCAGSCAGCGCCTCGCTGCACTCACACAGCCAGCGCCTCGCCACTCGCGAGAAGCCAGCGCCTCGCAACCTGCGAGAAGCCAGCGCCCCGCCACCTCCGACCAGCCAGCGCCTTGCCTGCAAACAACCAGCATGCCACCATCCACGTGTCGCGGCGGCCCGCCAGCCATAGTGCTAGCGCGAACGCGCACCAGCTACCACCCAAGAGGCTTCTTCCACTAGTCAGATGAAGGTCTAAGGGGGAAGGAAGCCTCATTTCGTGTCCAGTTTCGGAAACACAGCTTGTAATCCCTCCTGATAGGGTTCTCCTCTCCCTTTTGCCCCCCTGCCCATTTGATGTGGGCCATCCCCATCCCTTGTTCGCCCCCCAACCATGCCTCGGCAAAGTCTTTCATCATTTCCCTTATTTCTGTTGTTTTTCTGCATAAATTGAGCTTGTCTTTAACCGTTCTTGATTTTGCAATCAGTTCTGTTTGGATTTGCTGTTCGATGATTTCTGTGAATTCCTTCCCTTCCATTTTCGCTTCATCTCATAAGTACATCTTCTCTGCCACAGGCCCCAGGGGATCGCCTTTCTTCCTAGGTGGACGGCAGAGGTCCCAGGTTGGTGCTATGCTCCACAAAGTAAGGTTTGCCACTTCCATGGACAGTCCACATTTGTGCCAAGCTTCCTGCAGACCTGGTCCCACCATCGCCGTGCACTGCAGAAAGGTGTGCTCATCAGGGCTGGTCCCCGGATGTACCGGGGACCCCTACCCCATCCGCGGTCCTCCCCGTTCGACCGGCCAGTGGCCCGGGCCAGTTCCCTCCCGGTTGCCCCCAGCGCATTTTCGCTTGGGCCTGAATTTTTTTTTTGCCGGCGCATATGTGCTCCCGAGGCCTTGTGGGGGTGGGGCCTGCCCCACAATTTTGAAACCGGGTCCTGTAGGCCCGGATTTTTCAAGGCCAAAAAGTGGCCAATCTTGGCCGCCGATCATCGCAGATCAGCGGCAAAGATCGGCCAGGATCCCATTTCTTAAGAAAAATGGGCAGAGGATATCCGCCGCTGATCTTTGCAGATCAGCAGCGGAGAACCGCCACACATTTTGGTTAAGATGTGGGTCGGGTAGGCCCCTTCTCCAAGTTGTCATCTTCTGGTCCAACGGACCAGTTACCATTGGCAACATCTGATGCTTTTTCACCCTCAGCCACGAGGGGAACACTATGCTTGTGATGAGGCTCTGCTGAGATTATATCCTTCTGCAACGTCCCTGCCATCTGTGGAAACATCTGTGGAAAAAGTTATGGGTTCGGGTTTTGGAATCGTGATGTCAGAGACGTCCGAGGTACAAGCCCAAGAATGGACCTAAGCTCTATTCTTCTCTCGATCTATCTCGAATGGACCTTGCTCCACTACATGTATCTGGACAGACTGCCAGGCAAGATGCTTCCGGACTGATAACTCACCTTATGTAGAAACCAACAAACAGAAAACGCTCTGCCTCCACGAGCTGAAAGCTGGAACCATAACTCTTCTGCTGTCGAGTTATACTCTGGAAGAGCTATAACTTCTGGCAAGGACCTCCTCTCATTGTATCTGGTTCAGCTCGTGGGGTATCAATATCAAATGACACACTCCACGAAGTGCTCCAGCCACGGGGGGGTTGGATAAGTGAACTTGCTTACTTGACCCCTCCCCGTGGAAGCCATACTTGCTTGAATATGTCAATAATAACCCCCTGACCCCCTCTGGAAGCCCCCTGAAAAATATTGCACCCTGAAAATTTTATTGCGGATTCCGACAGCTCTCGAAGAGCGCAGTCGGAATCTGCCAAAAAAAAAAAGAAAAAAAGAAAAAATTGGCCAATTTTTTTTAAAAACCGGTTTCCCGGTTCAACCCCCCTGGCCTGGTCCGGCTCCGGTTGGATCGGGGTAGCTCAACCGGCCGGTTGCCGGCCCAGCACTGGTGCTCATTCGTTTCTCTGATTTTGCAGGATGGGTAGTTATTTACAGGATTTGCACCACGGGAGGGCTATTCCTTTCTGTTCCAGGTGCATGTGGTCTATCAGCTAGTTGTTAGCCGGTAGGCAGCGGTGTTCTATTTGCAATTTCAGGGAAGCTATGTTTGCTGGCTTTGTTTTGTATCCCTGAAACCAGCAAATCGGGGGAGAATTAGCAGTTTCTGCTACTACTATGGTATAACTTAAAGCAGAGCGATCTTCAAAAGTATTCACTACTTGAGCAACTGAAGAAGCTTTTTGACCAATAGCTACATAAACACGTATAACGTCTCGACCCTTTTGGTTTAAAATTGTATCTACAGCTACAGCGGTTTAAAATTGTATCTACAGCTACAGATCTGGGTACAGTGGAATGGCCTTGGCCTTTTGCAATTGCACCTAGGAAGGGTGTTTCGCAAAATGTTTTTGCCGTCGTCCTTCGCCGCAGAGTGGCTGCAGCGGCTCCACTTGTTATATCAAAAAAAGAAAAGAAGAAACGAGTTACAAATGCAATCACATGTAAAAAAAAAAGACAAAGAAAAGAGGAACATGAAATGAAAAGAGGCTTGGAGCAAGCTGGCTGGTTCTGCGCCAGCTATTCTTGTAAAATACTAGAAGTACATGTAGGAGTTAATAGAATTAAATCAGGTTTTTCCTTTTTACCTTTCCTAGTTATATTTTCTACTACTTTTTCTTGAGATCCTCTTGCTAAAACATGTCGGTCTACAATACTAGCTGTTACAGGAGTAAAATCTCTTTCTCGTTCTAGCATTGAACGCATTATATCGTGGCATAGCAAAATCATCACCCAACACTATCAACTTATCAAATTCCAATAACCAGAGTGAAATTGCACTGTGAATTGCCCACCATTTTGTATACCATCATTATCGTTTGATAGAAAAGCCAATTGATAGAAAGCTGTGAATAAATTCAAGGAATCAAGGACTCGTTGGATTCAACATTATTTTTGAATGCCTCTGCAATACGCAGTTCCTGTCGCTGATGCAATGCAGGCTTATTGAGCTTCAAGAATTTTAACTGTTGCCAATACCCTAAGCGATGGTCCAAACAATAATCAATTGTCGAATACACAATAACTCCAGTTTCTGTCCATATATTTCTTCTCAACAAGAAAGGAACTCACCTCCTTGAATGATCGGTTGTGGAACACTTCTGGTAGCAACACTGGGTAAACCTCATGTTCAAGGCCGTAGCAGTACTCTTCCTCCCAAGTGTCCTCTTCTGGAGGGTGAAATGTTACTGCCGAAACAAACAGATTACTTACGAGGGTAGAAAGCCCCTTCACATAACAGCTGCAAGGCAGATAAGAATTGGTTTTAATCATCCCATCAAACGTGGCCCTGCTAAGACTGTTTTCCTTCTTCTTTCCTTTTTTTTTTCTTCTTTTTTTTTCCTTCCCTGGTTCTGACTCCTACCATTCTGGGGAGCGACAGTCCGGTTCCTTTCCCCCAGCAAGTCAATAATAGATACATAAGAAACTCACGGCACGCTCCTCCCCATTATGGCTGGGAGGCCCGAGTAGACAGTATTGATTACTTCCGTAAGGAAGGATGCACCATCCCTCACCCCTGCCTAAGTTAGCCTGAGTTTTTACTCCTTTCACCATCCCTTTGATCCCAGTTGTACTCCTCTCAGTAATGTACCTGTCAGATAATTGTGTTTTAACTAGTGCTGGTCCGGCGCCCGGCCGGGCGGACCCCGGCCGGTTGGGCCCGGGGGGGGTCCGCCCGGCTGAACAGGGCGTCGCAAAAACATAGCAAGGAATTTTT